ATTTGGTTTTAGGGCAAACAGATGGCTGAGTAATCTCGCCCTATTACTGATTGTCCATTGTCCTGAGGCAAACACACTCCAACCATCGAATTTACAACAGAACCTAGGGGAGTAATTAACTTTTGAATCACACAGTCCCACAACAGTGAGATAGAGATCCCCTGTTACAATTGTATTAGTGCTTATTTGATTTTTCATATCTGCTAATATTTGTCTTATATAGTTGGGTGCACTGATATTTGGTGCATATATATTTATGATTGTTATCTCTTCGAATGGGAGGCTTTAAAAAATGAATATAAGGAAGGAGAGGAAATTGATGCTGCCAACCAATGTTTTCTGAGCATCTCTGTTGGGGAGTAATCACATCAGCAAGGACTCATATCAGCTAAGGAAAGCAGCTTTGAGTTTAACATTCAATTTAAATTGCAACTAAAAGGCATTTGTCAGTGCTGGAAAAAGCATGGAGACCGTGTGTTTGAATGGCTTTTATCTTCAAGCCTCTGAGTCAGTAATGTGTCAGGGGGAATGGAAAAGTCAAATAGCAAGGGAGAGTGTCTGTCCACAAACATAATCCAATAATTGTTACATGCACAGAATAATGCTCCAGAAAAATGGAGCAATGGGTCTCTTGGTTTCTCTGGAGAGCGCGTGAATGTGTGTGTGTGCGTGTGCTTGCTTAATTATTTTGCTGCAGTCTTCACAATATCCTATGAGTGCTGAGAGCAGTGCACTGTAGATCACTATGGCCAGGACTGACTCGCCTCCTCCTGCGGATGAAGCAGGGCCCGATGCAGGAGAACAGGTGACAGGAAGGCATGGCAGAGCAAAGCCTGGGGAGAAGAGGATGTGTCTTCCTCCCCTTCCATTCCTCATAAAACCATCAAAGCCTGATGTTCTGCAGACCTTAGCTACTCTCCTGGCTCTGGTTACACACCAACCCCTTTTGCCTCCCCCTGCACTTCCCTTATCTTTCCACTATAAATAAACACGCTGCATTTGCCTGGTGGTCTTTTTTCTCTGGTCAGGAGGAAAAGCCCCACCTGGGCCCAGTTTTGTTTCTCCTTGTTCTTTTTTATCTCTTTGTCTTTGTTTTTTCTTAATCTCCCATTAAAGCTTCTCACTCCTTGGACCCTTCAGCCACCCGAGGCTGTGACAAAAGAGGCCCCTAAGTCAATCAATAAGGAGCTTTTAAATATACCATTACAATGGGAAAAAGGTAGCTGCAGAAACCCCAAATGGTGTCACCGGAAGTGAACATAAGAGCAAACTGGCCAGTGAATCAAGGGCAAGGTTTGGAAATTGTTTTTAGAAATATGAACCCATCTAAATAATCCCCAAACAATTTCATGTGTATTGGCTTTAAACTGTTGGGAAATTATCTGTGGAGTGTGTAAACAAACAGACACAAAGGCTCCTTTAGAAGGAGTTGTTATGTAAAAATATTCAATTCAATTCAACTGACATGTATTGTATCCAATTTGGTTTTATTTTATTTAAGCTCCAATCTGTCCTAAAAGAGATTTAAGCAGCAAAGTATATTAGCAGCTGTAAGGACAGGGGGCACTGTATTAGAGAGAATATAAGATGAAGGCCTTGTTGAGCTTTTTTTTTTTTTTGGTACCTGGGATCAAACTCTGGTCCATGTGCTTGTGCAGCAGTCAGCAAAGCCACTGAGCTAAATCCCTGGCCCCCCTTGTTGAGCTTTATTAAAAATTAATAAGGCAGTTTTGACCTCTGCAACCAGACTCCAACAATTCTAGAAGGGCAAAGGCAGGGTGACTCTGAGGAATTAGAAAGACAAAGGCAACTGGACTCAAGCAATTAGAAGACAAAGACAAAAACTCATGACCAAGTTCCTGAGTAGCACGATTAATATAGAAATCACAAACTTATCTTCTAGCCCAAGCTACCTGTTCATAAGGCCCCCACCTATAATCTTACCCTCCAAAACACAGAAAAAGGTCACATGGCCAGAAGAAATCCAAGGTTAAGATGAAAGACAAGCCAGGGAGATTCCAAAAATCAGATTCCAAAAGACTACTTGGAACAAAGAGCCTAATAAAAGGAGCTGCAGACAAAAAGTCCATGAGCAATTCACTTTTGAATTCTCCCTTCTCTTCCAGAATAGCTGTCTGTCATCTGTCTCTTCCTTCTTCCCCATCTTCAAATAAATTGTCTTCTTTTATTTTTAAACTGCTTCTCTAGTTCTTTACTGATGCTGGGTTTAGGATTGCTGGGAGCTGTGTGTTCCATCAAAGCAGTGGCTTTATTGTAGATAGGTGAGTTAATTATATATCTTGTAGGCAGTTAGATAGGTCCGGCCCTTAAGCCAACATGGAGGACAATTGAGGCACATTCACTGAAGGTCAGCATTGTTTTGGGGGTGTGTGTGTGTGTGTGTGTGTGTGTGTTAGAGAGACAGGGTCTTGCTATGTAGCCCAGGCTGCCTCTAACTTGCATTAGTCCTCCTGCTTTAGCCTCCCAAGTGCTGGGATTACAGGGATGTGCCATCACACCAGGCCTGGCCAGCATTGTAAAAGAAGAGAAATTACTACATCCGCATGTGCATGCTTCCCCTAAAAATGAATAGCAGTTATTGATATTCCAAATAGGTATCACTTGTAGGGGACAGGGGAAGGGGACGTTACCAGAACCTCTGCAGTTAGTCCTGGTCTCCTGTGAGCCACGGCAGCAGACGGCGAATTACAGGAAAGGTAGACAAATGAGACTGAGAAGAAGCTGAGCTTTGGGTCTGATCAGTGCTGCTCTGGGCAGCAAAGACAAAAGCCCCCAGCTTACCACACCTTTTATTCAGTACATCGGGAGAAACAAATGTAACAAATGACTTGCAGAGAGTTCAATAGTTCACATTGGGATAAACAAGGTGTAATGGAAGGCTTGCAGAGAGTTCAGTACATCTCCGGCAAACAAGATGTTAATCAGTCCAAGAACAATGAGGAACTGAGCAGATGTTTGTTCTCCCAGGATGTTTCTTGTCCTGGAGAATCACAGCATCACTGGATCACTGAAGTCTCACTTGTGACCGGAGGCCAAACTGGAGTTATTCTGTAGCTGGGCTGTAGGCAAGAGAACTAGGCTAACCAAATGATTTATCCCTAGAATTATGTAGCATTGCTCCCAACAATCACTCACCTGGGCAAAGGACCAAGATCTTAACCAACCCCTTCCAGGAAAGGTTTCTGAGCCATCCCTTATGGAAAATCCTTGTTTGTTCCTTATAAGCTTGCTATGTGACTTGCTTCCCACTTTGATCCCTGTTTAATCAATATTACCTAAGAGACTATACTTGTAGTAATATTACTGGTTGATCACAGTTTCGTCCTACCTTGTAATTTCCCATTGGATCATTTTTACCTAAGTGACTGCACTTCTAGTCTTACTAGTTGACTATAGTTTTGTCCCATCTTGAACCCACCTCACCTCCTGGCTCTGCTCCATAAAAATCCCCTGGGAAACAGTCCTGGGAAACCCATTTTCCCATCTCCATTCTGTCTGTCTTAGAAGCTACCTTTCCCTTGATACATTTTTCCTACTCTTAACCTCCGTTGTTCCTAGAATTCATTCTTTGATTTTAGAGAATACAAACTCATGTTTCAGATATGTAGTAGGTTTGGCAGTTACATCTACTCCCCCCATATCAGCATGAGGTGGTAGAGCAGTGGCTTGCTGTCCACCTCTGGACATTAAAGTGTGGCATAGCATGGCATGGCCTACAACCCTCCCCAGATGTTACACAGCTGCTCTGTGCAAAAAATAAGTAAGTAAATAAAAAATAAAAATAACACCAGCTGCAAGAAGGCACTTAAGGATGGAAAGAACAGCTCTTCTCAGGACCCTGTTTGGACAGAAGAGGAGGAGTAATATGGGTCAGAGTTCTTGCAGCAAGAACAGAACTCATTTATTTCGCTTTTATCTTGGTGCATAACAAACTCTTGCCCACACTTAGGACATAAGACAACTTGTTGTTGTCTCTCTTGTTCTGTGGTTGACTGGGCTAAGACAGATAATTCTGGTTTGGTGGGTCTCATAGAGTCATGGTCTGGATTTGGCGGGGGTGCTGCCATCTAAGGATTTCCTGGGCTGTAGGTCCAAAATTATTCCCTCCATGGCATCAGTTACTGCTAGCTGTCATCTTTGGCCTCACCTATAAACAAACTTCTTATATCTTTATGACTGGAAATAGTTTTGCAACTTGAAGAAAGATATCAGGGAAGTTAGGCTCCTGTCCTTTCAGAGAAATTGAGAGACGAGTGCTATCTCTCTTGACATTGTTTTTACATTTCAAAGAAATGGCCTCCAGGATCTAGAGAAATATAGACAAAAAGCCTATTTAGTTTTCTAAAAGACTTATATAAATTTCTTTTTTTTCTTTTCTTTTCTTTTTTTTTTGGTACCTGGGATTGAACTCA